ATGCTATGGAGCAGGGTGACAAAATAGCCCTAATTGGCATGAGAACTCCTATCCTGGGGAAAGCTGGTGTCTCTGCAGCTCACAGCTCCAGCCCAGGCAAGGTGAGGGGCAGTGGCCAGTGGGGTAAGAAGGTGGTGTGGGAAGGTGCTGTCCTGGAGCTGGTAGCACACAGCAGTAACTTGATCTCTGGGGTGGGGGGCTTCTTTGACATCTGGCACAATTGAAAACTTACATGCTGCTTTAGCTGGAAAAATAGAGCATCAAGACACATAGCAATGATTATTAGAGAAGCTTTACATTCACCCATTTACTGGTTGATGCAGAAGATTTGATATTCTGACAAAACCAATTGTTTCTAGAGAGGTATCAGATTTCAAAGGCAAGAGAGGGGACATGGGAGATATTGTTTCAAAATCTACTGAATAATCATCACCCTATAACTTACTGTGGGAGTTAAAAAAACCTATGGTTATGGAGTTGAAGAGCAGCAGAAGTAGTATGAAGTGTGATGATGTTTTGAACTGTCTATCTAGTATAGAATTTTAGTTTTATATTCTGAAGTGATGATTTCTTTAGTATTAAGGCTCAATTTAAATATGGTATAGTGTCTACTATGTAATTTAAGAGAATGATGAGATTTATATAACCTCTTAGTTTATATAGGAGAAAGTGGAAAAACAGTAACATATGACTGATTATACCCTGAAGATACTGGTGTGTATTAAATGATGAGTAGGACAATATGAGAATCAGAAGAATGAACTCCAAGTAGCCTGTGATCTTAATGGAAAAACTGTGGGGCATGTGCAACACTACTCACAGGTTTCCTTTGTTACACTTTGTATTGTAATGGATACCTGGTGCCAAGGAAACTGGTTGCTGCTGCCTCCACAGGATCAACCAACTCTCAGCAAATAAATGAACCCCTTCTTTTTCCTTCTGTGGGGTTTTATTTTTTTCTTCCAGCTGTCTGTTCTCTCCTTGTATTTTCCTTTTTTCTCAGGTGAGAAATAAGAGCATGAAGTATGCAGACAAAGTATACCAATCAGACATTAAACTTCTGTAATAACTGTTTAGAGGGTCAGACCCTGCCTTCATGTACAACTCATACTCAGGTATGAAATGCTAAGTGGCTTTGTGTAAGAATTCTACTATTGCTAAAAGCAGGGAAAGCTTTGCCATGTCTTCTTTGGTTATAGAATTGTCTTGTCTTTCTTCTCAGCATTCTGGTAAGTTCAGTAAAGTGTTTACCAGGTAACACAGATGTAGGGGAAGCCCTCCTAGGCTTGTGAAGTTGATAACTTGTCTTTTAGAAAAGTATTATGACAAATGATAAGGTAAGTTCCATGTCACTGCTTGCAAAATTGCTGCAAGCAAAGCATCCAGCAGAGCTGCTGAACTGGATGGTGTAAGACTTGGCACTGCTGGTTTTTGCAACTTTTGCCAGGCTCTTTCATGACTTTTCTTCCTATGATATGAGTTTTGTGGTTTGCAACTCTGTTAAAAATAAGTAGGAAATTAAGTAGTATGCAGTGTTGTTTTAGCTGCCTTTAGGCTGCTGAGCCACTGTTTTTTGATGTAACCCCTTCTTTAAAATAATCTCAAATATTGCAACTTTTTTGTCATGTTTTAGATTTAGGGGTGAGGCAAGGAGGAAGAGAGAGAATCTAAGCCTCTTTTCACAACCATATCATATCTGCATTTGCTACTTTTATAAAAGGGGGCTATGGCACTGTCTTGGACAAAACATCTAAGTACTTGAGTGTGAAATGGTTTGGTGAGACTAATATTTCATTTAATTCATTGTATAGAAGCAGTTACCACATGCAAAGAACCATGACCCATGATGGTAGTTCTGGTACTAGGCTTAAATCTCCTTTGCCAAAACAGTCATCTTTTGAACAGGTATTTTCTTCCTGTATATTGGCATGATGTAATTAAGCAGTAAATCATGAACACTTTTAATTGAGTTGAAAAATGGAAATGGAAAAATTTCTAATGGAAAAAGCTTTTTGGATATATTTTGCAGTTGAGATTGAGTTTGGTAGTTGAGATCAAAAAATTTTAGTGGCAAATTGAGATTTAAGTGCCCAGGAGTTAAAAATAATAAATTATTCTTAAGCAGATATACTTTAATTTTTCATAAACTATTCAACATGAATGCAATTGCACATAGATAATTTTGTACATTCAGTACAACTTGTCATTCAGTATAAAAGGTTATGCTGCTGGCAAGGTAACTTTTCCCTGCAGCTGGAATACTACAGTAAGGGTTTTTATTTGCTTGTGACATGAATTTTGACTGATTCCAGGGATCCAGTTTAATGACTGAATTCTGAACCTCTTAGTACTGTAAAAAGTCTGATCTGTAACAGCCCCTATGAAACAAAACCAAGGTTAAGAATAGGAAGCTTTCTAACTCTTGTCTGTTTTAGGTCAGTATCCTAAATACCTAGTTGGCTTAGGGAATTGTTAGTAAATTGCTTTTGTCTGTAAGACACCATTGTGAATATTACTGAACTTGACAGCATCTAAAAACTGATGGCATGTGTGGAGTAAGTTTGGAAATCTCAGCTTTTCATGGACAGATATGTGTGGTGCAGGAGCTGTTTTCACAACTGGCAGTTCTGTTGCCATTTGTGATGCAGTGGGTGGATAAAAATAAGCATCCTGCTGGCCTCTGGATGTCATTCCTTGAGGCAGGCCTTCAAGGCTTCAGTGAGGGAGTAGCGTGGGCTCCCCCTGTTTTGTACCCATTTGGGAATCTCTGCCTCTAAGGCCCTGATTAGACATATGTCACATGATACCTAAACCAGGGATTCCCTTTCCCTGTTGGAGTATTCCAGTAAGGGAATCATATGGATTTAGGAGGTCAAATACTTAAAGCAAATGCCAGAGCTTTTGTAAGGTTTGCTTTTTTTTCCAAGGGCAGCTGATTTTGCTTCCTTCCTGGTCCTTACGGTTGGCTCGCACTGCTCTTCTCTAGGAACAGTAACGTGAAGTAGACACTCCTGTGCTTTTAGATCCCATGTCCATCAAAGACAGTAGCACTGGCAATTAAGGCACTTTGTTTGTCAGCCTGATAGTATTTTTAGGAAGCTGATGGAATTTGGCTTGTCCTCTAATGTGTTGATCCTTTGCCAAATGTCAGGTGCCCTGACCAGCCGCCCAAGTCTCTCTACCAACTGTCACCCTGCCCTGCAGAAAGTGGAATGCCATGGAGTTGGCAACTCAATGAAGGATTAAAAGCCTCTGCCAGCATGCTCTAATTAAACAGCTATATAGACAACAGCTGGGAAAAATTCATCAATCACAGAATGTTTATTATTGAAATTAAAGCACCTCATAACTAATGCATAGATTTGCATTGAATACCGTCTCCTGGAAGGAACAAGTGGTGCCAGCTCCGTGTGTCTGGGTATTCTGAATGTTTGTATCACTTGTACTGTCACCTATTTGCCTCTGGTTTGTTAGCCATAGTTAAAGGGTTCATCACCGTTGCAGCTAGTCTGGGTCAACATCTGTAGAAATGTAAAGCTGAACACTATAAGGAATTCTAAATTTGCTTTGTCTTGTGGTCTGTGGAATATTTGTTTGTTAATCTTCCAGTCCGTGGATGGGACTCTTGATTTATTCACACTTGAGCAAATCAGTAGCAATGCAGCAAATACTAGATTAGTTGCATAGACTTATAACCATGCATAGTTCATAAACATGCTCAGGGTGAGTTGCTCAATTTGTTTCTCTGAGCATTATGCTGTCTAATGTGGTAGTAGTGCAGTGGTGTGTGTCCTTTCATAATATGAGGTATGAGTGGCAGTCAAACCACTGGAAAACTTAATATATTAAATACTTTAAGTTTTTCAAGATGAGCATAAAAATATGCTCATGTGCAATCAGATTTTCAAAGCCATGTATGTTTTTTTTATCAGAGCAGTGTCTTTGCCTGATTCAGAAGCAAACATTAAAATTTCTGTCAACATTTACAAGGAAGGGCTTCAGTAATATGAGTACAGATAGAGTTCTGAAGCACATAATCCATATGTTCATAGCTCCTGCAAGGTCTGAGCTCTCACTTCAGCCATCCAAACTTATGGTGTTCTTCCTAGAACCATTATATCCAAACTAAATAGATCAAACTTTAATGTTAGAGCTTTAATACAATATCCTTCTCCAAGGCATGATACTGAAGATGTAGAAAAGAGCAAGCAAGAAGTCAGCTTCAAGGTCCTGAATCTCATGGCCTTCAGTGCTCGTGAAATGGTACTTACAGAATCATGTGCTTGGCAAGCTGGTAGTAACTGTTTTTCCCATCAAAAAAAAAAAAGCTTGGAAATATTGAGTGGCACTGATAGTTTGAAAAATGTTGGTAGGTAGGCTGACAGAAATCATGTTACTTGTGAATGAGAAAAATTGTATTGCTTAAATTAAATTAAAGAAAATGCTATCTAGTCCTGGAATGTTTTTATGACACAATAAGCACTGGTATTTGTACTTCTCTTTGGTAGAATCTCATTCTGACTTTCAGCACAGCAGAAATGTTGTTTACATAGAGGAAATCCACTGTATCACTTCAAAATCATGAAATTAAAAGTAAAATATAGGATGCGGGGATTTGCACCTCAACATCTGACTCCAGAAAGATAAGATTATAAGCCAATGTTTCATGGCTGTAATAGAAACTGGTTTGGTTAGTATTATAAATTAACTTTTATGTCAAACTTTGAATATTGCCCGCAGTGTGCAGACATTTGACAAGGCATTGTAACAAATTCTTGCTGCTATATAATTGAGATAAATAATAGTTTTGATTAATAACTCTGTTCTGTCATTCAAGATGTGAAGACAATAAGTGTGTCCAGAAAAAAGCAAAGCAGAATTTATTCTTTCTCACCAACTGACTGAGCTGGCATTTATGAGGGAATTTAGGAAGTTGAGGAACCCTCCCTGAAAGGGGCATGGGGAACGGAGTTTGACCATGCTGCTCTGTCTTTTGACAGGTCGTTTGCTGCCCTTTGAGCACAGCCCAGACCTTTGAATATTTGAGAATATTGTTTCCCAAGATGAAGAAAAATAATCATTCAATGTGTATCTGTGATTCTGCTGTCAGAGGCTTTTCTGCTTTCACTCAAGCTCAATCCTGAGGTGGCTGTTAACTTCAGTAAAGGTAAGATGATATACTTGTTGCTTTGTTGTGTTTTTCTCACAAGAACAACCTGGATGTGTCCTTAGATTTGCGGCAGAGTACTACTGGGATTGGCAGCAGCAAGACAAGGTAAAAAAATCCACGAAACAGTAAAACGTTTATTGATGCACAGTGTAAATGCTTCATGGACTTTGTGACAGCTGATGGAGATGTAGTCATAGCCAAGCTGAATTTCCACTTCCATGGACAGATGTGCTGGGACAATGTGCTCTGTATTTAGGTGTTTTCACTTCCTTGCCTTGGACCAGGAGGGACTTGCTTGATTATGGGTGAAGCAGCTGTTCTTAGATTTTGTGCTCAAGCCATGGCAATTTATTTCTGACATTTCCTCCTTAAACTGCTCTGTGACATGTTCCTGCCTAGTGGAGGTGTCAGTACTGAACCAAGCACATGTAGCTCCAAAAGCTCCATATGCTTTAGAGGGTGAGAGAGGTTCTAAAATGTGTCAGCCTTTGCTGCACTAAAGGGTTTGACTTTAATGCCATACTTGTGATATTTCTTCTAATTAAGAAGAGTGAGGAATACTACTAATTCAATAGTAAAGTTAATTAGCAAGACTATAAATGTTTATTTGTTTTTTAATAGCAACAAATGCTATAAATTACTCCCATGTTTGTCTATTGTAAAATCCTGCTGTTAGAGTAATCTGTGATGTAGCTTTTTCTTACAATAGATGTTGGCATTGCAACAGCATGAATATGATTTTGGCATGGATTGTGAAATAACCATGTTAAGTGTTAAACCTGTTAAATTTTTGAATAGGACTCGTCATGTGAGAAAGATTAAATGTCATGTATATTGATGTATATTGAACTGCTTAATGTAATCTGTATTTACAATCAGAAACCTGCTTTTGCAGGCATTTCAAATTTACTACAATAAAACTGTAAGAGCTTTTTGTTAATTGTTGGCTTTTGAAATAAGTGTGGAAGTAGAACTTCTAGCTTTATCTGTTAGATTGACTGGAATTTCACAGATGCTTATGAAAACTTGAAGCAAACTTTAATCTTGAAATAATTTATAGGATTTTATAATATTTTTTGGTAGCAAGTACTGTTTTTATAGCGCTGTAGATATACTTAATAGTTTCAAAGTGAATACTTGTCAACATTTGAACTAAAATATTGAAATATTTTAGTTTTCCTCTTAATGCAGTTTTTCCTTTCTGAAATAGCACAATCCTGGAATGAAAAGATGTCTTGTAGTCCTGATTCATGCAGGACAAACACTTTGTACTACACTTAATCCCCTCTGAAATGAGGGGAGCTTAAGGAGATTCAGGTTTAAGACATAAGTAATGAAGAGGGAAAATAGTAAGGTGCAATTTCTGCTATGAGGTGATTTCCTTAGAGAAGTATCTTTTGGAGGAAGATGGAGAACTAAGAGCCAGTTTGAATTTCTAGAAGTGGGAGCCTTCAGTAGGTGTGGAAGACAAATGACTAAAAGAGGGCTGCTTTAGGGGAATGGAGGTGCTATAGGCAGACAAAAAGGTTATACATACCTAATTTAGCCAACACTAGAAAACTGAGAAATTGCCATCTCATTTTTTTTTTTTTCCCTTTTAAGTAAATTTTCCCATAGGGTGTTACAAGAGAGAAATCTTGACTCTTAATACCTTAATCAATTCTATCATCTTTTCTGCAACTCCAGTCTTTTCATAGTCTTTTTCAGTCTTGATGCTGGTCAAACTATATTGAGCCACTTAAATTGATTCAAGGTTTTTCCAATTCTGCAATATCATCTCTAATGCAATGAATCTGGTGACCTAACCATCTTCTCAGTGTTATTTCTGACTCTGGATGAGAAGTTTGGAAGATTATCCAGCTTTTGATATGGCGGTTTCTGTATTGGTATATTCCCATGGAGAAGCAAATAGTGTATTTATGTGTATTTATATAGGAAAACAGTGAACTCTTTATTTTTTGGGAACAAGAGGAACAAAAACCTTATATGCATGTTCAGATATACTGTTTGATACACTCAAATATCGTCATAAAGCCTGAATAATATTTACTTGCATAGCTAAAGCTCCACTTCTGGAAAGCTGTGACTTTGGTAAGGAAATCAGAGCATCTGCTGCACATTTTTCAGGATATTATCTGCATAAAGCATGTATTTTCTGAGAATTTGAGTAAATATGTTTTTTCTGTAATAAGTGTTTTTCTAACACAGATGATTATTTTTGAACTTGAATCTTGGCTTCTGAATGTACTATGTATAACTTTAGTTTCTGCAATAGTTCCCAGAAAGCAGTAGTTACTTGGTTGTTGAGGAAATAGTGTCTTGATGAGGTTCTCTTTTATTAGCCATTGCCTGATTCATACTTTTCACAAAGATATTTGCAAATGTCTCATTATAACAACTGATCCAAAAGAGTGGAAAGGTGGTGTCTGATCTAACCCTCAGTGAAAAACCCTGGACTGCAAAGACTCATTATGAATTAATTCCAACTGGTGTAGAATAATCTGTAAAGCTATGGGTTATGTTTTCTTAGATTTAGAAGATTAGATGCAGATCTGACAAAGGCATGGTTGCTTTCCATTTTCTTAGATGTTAAAAAAAAAAAAAAATATCTCTGGAGTTTGGGCTGCATTTAGTTTGAATATTGACATTGGACTGCTAAAAGGGATTAGGGGAAGAGGAGCAGAACACAGTGATAGGCAATTTTATCCTGGCTTTCAGACTCCTACCAAAGGCTGATTTCCTTTTCTCCAGCCTTAAGTGAATATCTGCATCCTTGGGAAAAAGGCTTGATTTCATGAAGAAGAAGTACTGATTTTAAAAGTCAGTGTATGTTATTGAAGAAAGCTTGGGGCAGTAGTTAAATTTGAGGTGGACTTGTAAAAATTAGTGTGCTATGAGCTTGCTTTGCTCTTCACGCGGTTCTCTGCATTTAGTCCTGTTTGCAATCACTTAAGAGTCTTTCCTATTCAATGTATTGATGGCAAAGTCAGTTTAATTTCTGTGCTCTGGGCTGTCTGTGTTGCTGGGCCCTAAACTCGCAGGAATTTTTGCTCTTTCTTGTCTTTCATGTAGAATGCTTGGCTCTTAAGTCTGCTCATTGTTCGGTGTTAGAATGGTGGCTAATAATCATCATATACACCTTGGGTATGAGATATGTGTATCCAGGTATTTGTCCTCCATCTTTGTTAGGTTCTGTTGCCTTTAGCTGTAGTTCCCTTGGAACAAGTTGGTCATCAAAACTTATTCAATCTATTGTGAATTTTCTTGAAAATTCCATTCTAAAATTTCAGTTTTATAAATTGAAAAGGTTGAATTATTTGCCACACAAATTGGAAATACTGTTTTAAATAATAGCATAATTTCATTACTCAGTGTGTTATTACCTGCCTTTAAACTTAGAAAAACAGAAATTTGGCACAAGTGAGGATAATCATAAACCTATTGTTATTAAAATGCCTTAATACATTTTCAGAGGGGAATCCCCATTCATGTGTAGGTATGGGTGTACCTTTCAAATTTTGATAAAGACAGCATTGAGAGCAAAGTATTTTTAGTACTATTATAAAGGGGAATATATTAGCAAAACTTTGAGTGCATGTGTCTATTGCTTTTTCAGGCTCCTACATCTCACTCAGCCTCAGTGCAGCTGGTTTACATACTCATTCTCTGGCTGTATTTAAGGTCAGCATTGCTGTGAGTTAAAATGAAGGAATAATATACTGCTCAGACTGCAAATTCCAGAGACTTTTCACCTATGGAAATTTTTGTATTTTATTTCTGCTTAAATTCTAATGAAAAAAATGAAAAAAATGTTGTTCAAAAAATTGAGAGCTAAATTAGTGAAGCCCTGGTGGGCTGGTGATGGTTGAACCCCTGGATGGCAAATCAAAGGGAAAGTACTGCCTTCAGTGGTAAAAAGTTTTATCTCCTGTTTGAGAACTCTATAGATACATCCATCAAGTAGTCTGACAGGGAAATAAATTGGGTTACAGCACTGCAAGAAGTCCAGATTATGTTCCTGCTGAGCAGTAACAAATTGTGGTGAACTTTTTATAAAGTTTCTTTCTATTTTTCACAAAATAATGCAGTATAGAGGCAGTCAGTGGTCACAAGAGACACTGGGGAAACCTCTGGAAAAGTTTGCTGTTCTTTAATAAACAAAAGGTATGAAATTATAGATGTGGCTTTCTTTTATTATAGAACCACTTGTGTTCTCTGTTGCTTTATAAGCACACTTAAATGTACCTAAGGTGAAATTTGTTTTATTTGCTGCAAAATGAAAACAAACTAGTGTCCTGACTGTAAGATAATATACTTGGGCCCCAGTTGTGATGGATCACCATTGACTTCCACTGAATATGGTAAGAGTTGCAGCTAATTCTTCTGGGACTCACTAGGGAGCCCTAATTTTCCTCCAGTAATAAAATATTTTCATTCCCCTCATCCCATGTATGCATTACAACTAGACTGAGAGTCCAGTAGGCTTTCTTATCTTTGATTTATTTAAAAAGGAGTTCTTATACACAGTTAGGATCCAAGTGCTTTTGAATGCAGCTATATTCAGATTTAGAACCTCAGTGTATTGCTGACCCTCTCTCTTATCATTCCATCCTGAATACCCTTCAACTCGACAAAACTTCAGACTCATCTCTAATGCCAGTGGGAAACTATGAATGTTTGGAAGCAGGTCCAGAGCTGTTTTCAAGCTTTGTGAACTTAAACCAGCCATTCCATTAAGGTGTCATTTTCTTCAACCAAATCTGAAAGAGAGAGAGAGGTTTCTGGTGTCACATTTCTTTGCATCCTTCTGAAAATCTTTGCCTTGACATGGAAAATTAACATCCTTTATATCTTTGCATGTATCTAGATATTGACAAATGAAACCTTTAGCATGTGTGAGATCCTAGATGTTTTAACAAACAAGAATGAATTAATTTTGCTAATTCTTTGGTGTCCCTTTCAAACCAGTTGCTTTTAACTATACAGCCTGGAGTAATTTTGAAAAAGAGCTACACCTTCTTAGACTCCAAAGAAAAATAAGAACAGGGAGAGCTATTTCCTTCCGGTTGGATATTTCTCTCATGGTGTCAACATTGAGAGTTATTTGCCACCTAATATCTTGTTTGTATGGAAGCTGAGCTACCTTTTAAAAACAGCTACAAATGAATGCAATAGAAAAATAAAGGAGAAAGTTTATTAGATAAGGAAGGCTGGTGTTGTTTAATGAAGTGTGGCTTTCTGATCTGTTTTTAAAAGCCTTGTTCCTTCTTGGTAAGAAATAGGGGTAAAATGTTTCTCTTATGGGCTTCTGCTTTACACATTGCATGCTTGCCTTGAGGGATTCAAAAGCTAAATAAATTTGAACTTGCAAAAGATGTAAGTATGAGACATCTCATCCTTTTTCTGGAATGGCTTGGGGGCTGATTGTTTATTTAACAAGCTGGTGCCCTGATTTTGCCACTGACACACTTCAACAAAAACCCCCTCACAGGCATTTAAAGTTGCAGAAGGGAAGAAAATTGAAAAGAAAGATGGGAGTCAATGCACAAAGCCACAAAGGTTTGCCAGCTTGAGTGTTTTTATTATTTATGAACTATATCCAAAATTGCAGCTCTAGACTGGTCTGAGAGAGAGGAGTCAGCGATGCTCTGATATCATCAGACCAAATGAGGTCTTCCTGTGAGTTGTTGGTTGCTTGAGTTATGTACAGGAACTCACTCAAGAAGAGGAAAATGTCTATGGAAAGACCCAGGAGAGTCCTTGCAAAAATCCTAACAGAGAAAAGTGAAATTTAACTAGTGCATGACCTTTGTGCCAGTTCATAAAAGGTGAATGTGTTTTATCCTTAGATGTCAAGACTGAGTGGCTGAATTTGGGAACTGGGTTTTGTTCTCTTCACTGAAGCAGCTGGGAGCTGTTCCAAAAGGCAAGTGCAGATGT